ATCATTGGCTAGGACGAATGGTTCGTCTGCATACGCAAGATTGTTGAGATCCACTGTTGTCATTCCGTACTGCGGGTCTTCCGTTACCCCGCCTCGTGTCATATTGACCCATTTGCACCGAAACAAAGGGACCTTTAAACCACGTCGATAGTCAAGTTCCCATATGTCCTGTATATAACCATAATATGTTTCCTTTCCCGTCTTGGTTTCTGCATCAAAGCGGACACCATTGTTTTGGTTGGTGCTCTTCTTATCTTGGGCGATCGTGTAAAATGTATTACCATTTATCTCGTACCCTTTGAAAGTCATTATATTCGAAGATGGTAACTGGGACAGCAAGTACAGGTCATCTTCAATAGAGGTGTCATGCATGGTACGTGTCTGCAACCAGCTGGCGAAACTCCTGGTTTGTTCACGTGTAATCCAGTCATCAGACCGCTCCGGGTGTTTGGAGCGTAGCAAATTCTTGTGTTCATCCATATACGGAGCCACCAAGGCGGAATTCTATAGAACTGTGTAGTGTGCTTCAGTGAGAGAATGTCCATCCATACATATTATTTGTTTCCCTCCTAGCGTGCCTTTTCCATCCAGTCTGCCCTTATGCCGCGATTCAGGAACACCAATCGGCTTAAGGTCAGGAATAAAGTCAATACAAAACTCAATGACCTCCTCATTTTGATGGCCCTTGGAGATGCTTCCTTCTGGCCTAGCACGGTTACGAACATATTTCTTTAAGACTCCCATGAACCTCTCAAAGGGGAACATATTGTGTAGAAATACAGGACCCAAAACGTTAATCTTTTCACATAGGTGAACTAGGACGTGCGTCATGATGTTGAAGAAGGATGGTGGGAACACCAACTTGAAACTGACAAGACATTGCACCAAGTCATTCTGTAACCTTGGTATGATTTCTGGATCGGTTACCTTCTGAGAGATTGCATTGTGGAATGCACATAGCTTCACAATGGCTAATCGAACGTTTTTCGGTAGAAGCCCCCTCAATGCAACAGGAAGCAGTTGCGTCATAATCACGTGGCAGTCATGAGACTTTAGGTTCTGGAACTTTTTCTCTGCCATGTTTATTATTCCCTTTATATTCGACGAGAAGCCAGACGGTACCTTAATACTGAGCAGGCATTCAAAGAAGATTTCCTTCTCTTCTTTGGTAAGAGCGTAGCTTGCATGACCCTGATGTATGCCGTCTTCTTCGTGCATACGTTGCTGGTCCTCCCGTGCCTCAGGTGTATCTTTTATCTTCCCATACACGCCCAAGAAGACAAGCAGGGTCACGCAAAGATTCTTCGTCACGTGCATCAAGTCGATTGCGGAGCGGACCTCTAGGTCTTTCCAATATGGCAGGTCCCAAAATATAGATTTCTTCTTCCACATGGGTGCGCGTCCGTCAGCGTCCTTTGGAACAGGTTGTCCGCCAGGACCCTTTCCAAATATCACCTTCAAATCCTTGACCATATCATGTACATCAGCACTAGTACGGTGGCGAGGCTTCGTCCGGTGATCCGCCTCACCTTTGAAATGCTTGCCTTTCTTTCTTACGGGATGCCTGCTCGGAAGAAATCGACGATGTCCCAGGTACACATTCTTCTTACAACTATTCAAATATATACTGTCGGTATCATCCAAACAGTGCGTGCATCCGCGGTATCCCTTGTTTGTCTGTCCTGAAAGGTTACTGAGAGCAGGCCAATCATTGATGGTCACGAACAGCAACGCCTTTAGGTCAAATTCTTCCCCCATGTGCTCATCCCACGCACGTACACCTGTTCCATTCCACAGTTGTAAGAGTTCTTCAACTAATGGCCTTAGATACACATCAATGTCGTTGCCGGGTTGCTTAGGGCCTTGGATGAGCACTGGCGTCATAATGAACTTCCGCTTCATGCACAACCAAGGAGGAAGGTTATACAAACATAGAGTCACAGGCCAGGTGCTATGGTTGCTGCTCTGCTCCTCAAAAGGATTAATGCCATCTGCGCTTAGACCAAACCATACGCTCCTTGCATCATCTGCAAACTCCTTCCCATACTTTCTTTCGATATTTCTCCACTGCGACCCGTCAGCTGGTACTCTCAACTTTCCGTCTTTCTTACGGTCTTCTCCGTGCCATCGCATCGCCTTGGCATGCTCTTTGTTTTGGAACAAACATTTCAACCATGGTATTATAGGAGAATACCACATCACCTTGGCAGGAATCTTCTTCCTGGGGCGCTCGCCCTCGACATCACCATGCTCATCGTGGCTGATCTTATAGCCCAATGCACCACATACCGGGCAAGCGTTCAAATCTTCGTACTCACCGCGGTAGAGGATGCAATCATTAGGGCATGCATGTATCTTCTGCACCTCTAACCCTAGAGGGCAGACAACCTTCTTTGCTTCGTACGTACTCTCGGGCAATTCGTTGTCCTTTGGAAGCATATCCTTTATCACTACCAGCAACTTTCCAAATCCCTTGTCAGATACACCATTCTCTGCCTTCCATTGCAGCAATTCCAGTGTGGTGCCCAGCTTTTTCTTGTCACCTACGCAATTCGGGTACAACAATTTTTTGTGATCCTCTAACATGCGCTGCAACTTCTTCTTCTCCAAATCACTTGCGCAGTTTCTCTTTGCATCGGCAATAGCCCAACCTAGATCATCAACGGGCTCATCTGATGCCTCTTCTTCAGCTTCTTCCCGCATTGCCGGCTCAGCTTCTTCCCGCATTACCGGCTCAGCTTCTTCCCCCATTGTTGTATCATCGTATTCAGGGAATCCATGGCCAGGATAGCTGTCGTCGTCCTCTTCTTCTTCATTGTCTTCCATCATAACCCCTCTTTCTCCGTGCTTGGTCCAAACATTATAGTGGGGCATGAAACCGGACTCAAACAGGTGGACGTGAATGGTTCTTGACGTAGAGTAATTGCGACCATTTTTACAGCCAGCACATGGACAAGGCATAAAACCATCCGCCCGCTTGTTTGCCTCAGCCGCAAGCAGAAAAGTATGCACGCCCTCAACGAACTGGGGAGAGCATCGGTCATCGTACATCCATCGCCGGCTCATCTTCATTACACAACACCGAATAGACCAAATTAATACAAGTTAATACATAAAGTTCATACAACACTTAAATGCAACAAACAAATAACTCTCTAGCTAAAGCATTTAAATGCAACAACAAATGCGATCAAGATCGCAACTAAGGTAACAATTGATCCAACAGCATAATGATACCAAGCCTCACTATCGATGGCATATTTTCTAATCTTTCTAATCTTCAAGCGCATTTTCTCCATCTTGATCTTGTGATTATCGACGACATCGGCAACATGCAACTCCAATTCCATCTTCTCCCCCTCAATTCTTTTCAATTTTTCTTTCAAGTACTCGTTTTCTCTTTCAACTAAATTTAACCTCTCGACAATAGGGTCGGTTGGAATTTCCGGTTCATATACCTCCTAGATAAAAATATCTATGTCAACTTGATGGGCATAATTTGTCATAAACACGAAATGCAACAAAAGTTTTAAAAGAGAATATACCACATCCGAATCATAACAAGGACGAGGGCCGACGGGGACGGATATCAAAACCATGGCACTATGTATAACAAACAACGTACGGGTAAGATAATTATTATACGAGTAACTATATATCCAAATCACACAAACATCAATTTTTTATATAAAATTTCATGAACAAGAGGCTCACCACAAGGTGGTGCCGGCGATGGGACGGTGCGGGCGATCGACGGTGGTTACGACGGAGATTTAGAAGGCACTAAGTAAACCACACCTACATATGCAAACTAAGTGTTATTTTAACCTCAAATTGCATATAAATCAAATACTAGCACATATATATATATCCTCCCAAATTACTAAACTCCCAAATTAATAACTATATAAAGCATTGCAAGAGCTACTAGCAATGAGAGATGAAAGGACAAAATTGCTAACCTTTATGATCATTTGAATGGATGGGGGCCTTCAAATCTTGACAAATTTTGGGCAAAATGTGTGATGAGCTCGAGAGGAAGAGGGGAAGAACAGAGAGGAGAGGGGAAAGGGGAAGAACAGAGCGAGCTCGGGTGGACGAAGGGTTTATGTATGACGCCATTTAGTACCGGTTCGTGCCAAGAACCGGTACTAAAGGTGCTGGAGGGGGCCCAGACTGACAACATCCTGCCACCACTCTCATTAGTACCGGTTCGTGGCACGAACCGGTGCTAAAGGTTAGCCACGAACCGCTACTAATGAGAGCGGCCCGGCTAGCCGTTGGAACCGGCACTAATGTATACATTTGTGCCGGCTCAAATACAAACCGGCACTAATGTGCTTCACGTTTGACCCTTTTTCTACTAGTGTAATGTGTTTGAACTAGAGAATTTTACATGCTAATAGAACATTACACTTTCAATATCCCATGTTTTTTGAGAATTTTTTAGAACTTTTCAAAACATCGTTTTCCGCATGATTTTCATCGGTTTTCACCGACTTAGTTTCGTGTCATATTCTCCCATGTTTCTGATTTTGTGAAAATCTCTAGCCTGTCCCTCTATTTTTAATATGTATTGTGCTTTTAGTATATAGGAGTATAATAGATTGGTAATAGATGTCCATCATCTTTGGCAATGAATGTGATGCGCTGTTATCTTGGTCAATGTGTCATCTTTCTCAGTGTGATGTGTTTGTTGTTTTCTTCACTGTTCTCATGTGATGCCAATTTCTGTGATAACGTGATCCATCGGGCAACCTTAGATTTCTGACCAAGTGAGGCAAATAGTCATCCAAGGGAGCGTGACAGGGTTACTGCCCATACGTTCGCTGTTTCTCTTCCTGGGCGGCGGGCGGCGGCTAAGGCCCGGTTTCCTATCATGTTCCTCCTCCTACACCTTGCCCGGCTATATATCCGTATGTATGCTTGTCATATTTTGGAGTATCACGTACTCAGCTGACAACGAACTGACCACTCGCAAATAAGCTAAGCTGCCTGCCATGGAGGGTTGGTTAGCCTTATGTTTTATAGCCCTATCCACGTTACTGGCCCTTTGGTTCTCCGGCAGCAAGAGCAAGCCCAAGAAGCACCTGCCTCCCGGGCCATGGACTCTCCCGATCATCGGCAGCCTCCACCACGTCATCCTCGGCACGCTCCCTCACCGCACCATCACTGATCTGTGTCGCCGGCATGGGCCACTGATGCTCCTCAAGCTAGGCGAGGTCCCCACGGTGGTGGTCTCCAGCGCCGAGGCGGTGGCGGAGGTAATGAAGACCAACGACGTCGCCTTCTCGAACCGGCAGACCACCGAGCTGCAGGAGATCATGGGCTTCGGCGGCAAGGGCATCATCTTCGCCCCCTACGGCGACCACTGGCACCAGATGCGCAAGGTCTGCATCGTGGAGCTCCTCAGCTCCAAGCAGGTGAAGCGCATGGAGTGCATCAGGGCCGAGGAGGTGGGCGGCCTCCTCCGCTCCATCATCACGGCCACGGACGCGGGCGCCGCCGCCAACCTCAGCGAGATGTTTGCGGCGCTTGGCAACAACGTGGTGGCGCGGGCGGCGTTCGGCGGCAAGTTCGCACGGCAGGAGGAGTTCCTCTGCGCCATGGACCAAATCATGGACCTGCTGGGGGGCTTCTGCCTGGTCGACCTCTTCCCGTCGTCCCGGCTGGTGCGGGGGCTCAGCAATGGCGAGCGCCGCATAAAGAGGATCCGGGACCTCATTGAGCACATCATCACCGAGATCCTTGACGAGCGCAAGGCGGCGCGAGCGGCCGGTCATGGCGCATGCAGCACCGATGATGAGGACCTGCTGGACGTGCTGCTCAGGCTGCAGGAGGAGGACTCGGCATACCCTCTAACCACAGAGATTATAGTCACTGTCTTGTTGGTGAGTATTTTCCTTTCTGTCATTTTCTAATCGTTTGGATCTACTATGTGACCTCTACGTCATGTAGAGGCAAGTTAGCATCATAGCTAGGTTTCTCACAAAAAAGGTATTGGAGTATATATAGTTTTTGCTGTTACTTTGGGCTTTGACTTGCTGACAGTTGATAAAAAAATACTACTTCGTATCAAGTTTGTTTTGACAATTTATATAGTATTTAATTATACATATATGTTACAACATTATTATCTCCAGGACATGTTTGCGGCTGCTTCAGAGACTACAGGAACTGCTTTGGAGTGGGCCATGTCAGAACTCGTAAGTCATCCTGAAGTTATGGCTAAGGCACAATTAGAGGTTCGAGAGGTACTAGGTCAAGGCCGAGCTATCATTAGCAATAGCGATCTTGCAGAACTCCACTACATGCAGATGGTCATCAAGGAGGTTCTTAGATTGCATCCACCTGCCGCTTTACTCCCCCGCAAGACTAGAGAGGACTGCAAAATTATGGGTTACGACATCCTTAAAGATACCAATATATACATTAATGTCTTCGCAATTTCCCGGGACCCTCAGTATTGGAGCAATCCAAAAGAATTTAATCCCGAGAGATTTGAGAACAACAATGTGGATTATAACGGGACAAGTTTTGAATTCACTCCTTTCGGAGGTGGGCGACGACAATGCCCTGGAATAGCATTCGCATCATCAGTTTTGGAGATTACCTTGGTAAACTTTCTCTATCACTTTGACTGGATGCTTCCTGACAATGCCAACTCATTATCACTAGATATGTCTGAGAAATTCGGGTTCACTGTCCGTAGAAGGACTGACCTACTGCTCAAGGCTATTCCACATGTATGCTCCAAGGCTACACATATATAGATCCAAGAAGTAGATGTTCATATGTGTTGCATTGTACCTTTATGCATACATTAGAATAAGAGCACATGGAATAGCTTGTTGTGCCAGATTACATGCCAAAATAGTGGAACCATTGGCAGAAATTAAATTTCAACTGGGAAAGCATGCCAACATCTACTATGTATCTCCCTCTGGCCAATTTTGAAGATGACACCATCAGTGTGATTCTAAGTAAATATTATTGGCTTGTATTTTTTAAGTAGTCGACTTACCTTTTAAAGTATTAACTTTTGTTATAACAATTTTAAATTGTTCTCCTTTATCCATTCTCATTGTCTCCGGTACACGTGCCATTTTCTGTGTTGCAACTGTGTCGAATATGTGTGTTGGTTTCTATTGGGCTAAATATACTACTTTGACATCTATCAAGTTTTGGGATATATGCAAAAGAAAGGGACTCAACCGGGCTAGCTAACTATGGCCACCAAATATATGCAGAAGAAATGGACTCAAGGGGCACCAAGAAAAATTGGCATTAGCCAAAGTTCTAGATCACCACCAGATATTTGGCACTGATACGTTCTAGATCGCCACCAGATATTTGGCACTAATGCGTTCTAGATGGCCACCAAATATATGCAGAAGAAAGGGACTCAAGTGTTGTTTTCTGCAAAAAAAATTCAGAAAAAATAATTTTACAGAGCTAAAAATTTAAGAAAAAATACAGTTTTTTTAGGTCAAAGGCTATTAGGCATCTGGCCCGACTTGAAGGAGTCCTATGAGCCCCACACAGCCAAGTGGTGCAGTTAGGGGCTGGCCGCACGGGCACATAGACATCAATGTGCAAGTGAAGGATCATCAGCCCCTGTTGCACCTAACTAATTACAAACCGTAAACGAAGGTTTTTTTAGAAAAGTCCCCACTATATCTTCATTCCAGGGCTAGCCTCCTGACTTTCCACGGGGCGAGAGGTTTGCTTTATTCAACTCAAACGTTGAGTTTCCATCGAAGGCGACAACCAGACGAAAGTCTTGTACACAGCCAGATCAATGGACATATGTTGCAGATGACGATTAATATGCTCATAGAAACGGTCTAGAGAACCATGCTCGGGCCATATTGGACCCATGTTGGAACGTCGGGGACGCGGCAAGCACTTTGTCAATCCCGACCCTACCTCTTGTGCTTCGTTCCTCCACATGCTCCGCGCAGCAAGTTTCATGTCTAGGAAGGGTGCGCTCTTCCACGAGGTGCCATACTATGGGCTCCTCGACAACGTTCGTGCCGCTCGCATCGGCAATCTCGACATCGACAACATCCGCCTAGGCACGCCTGATGTTTCTTTGTGCTCCTATTTGTATCTTTTCTGATGGTGATATCTCTGCCAAGCAATTGCTCTTCACAAATGGTAACACTAGTAGAAAAAAGGTCAAATGTGAAGCACATTAGTGCCGGTTTGTAAAAAAACCGACACTAATGTGATCAATAGTGCCGGTTCGTGGCTGCGATCAATAGTACCGGTTCGTGTTGAGCCTTTAGTACCGGTTCGTGCCATGAACCGGTACTAAAGGGGTAGTGGCAGGCTGGCGTCAGGCCGGGTCCCCACGAGCCTCTTTAGTACCGGTTTGTGTTACCAACCGGTACTAAAGGTCTAACCTATAGTACCGGTTCGTGCCACAAACCGGTACTAAAGGGGACAAGCCTTTAGTACCGGTTCGTGCCACGAACCGGTACTAAAGGGGGCAATTTTCAAACTCTACCCCCCTTGTATCGCCATTTCAGTTTTGAAAAAATCAAAAGAAAATGATAAAAACTTCAAAAAATAAAATCCTTCGAGAGGTAGTTATATTACTATATCTACTAGTTAGAAAAATTTGAAAACTTAAATTTGGACATGTTTTGCAAAAAGTGTAGGGAAAATGTAAAACGGCTATAACTTTTGCATACGATGTCGGAAAAAAACGTATAATATATCAAAAAATTCAGCACGAAAATCTGCATCCAATGGAGACAGCCTACGGCTTGTTTGGAATTTTTTAGAATCCTCAAATTCGAAAAGGAAAAAAAGATATGGTCAAATTTCAGTTTTTTTTAAAAAAATTGGTTAAATTTGGTCAAACTACTTATTCAAGAAGTATTAATGTTACTACATAATTATTCAAGAATATTAGTGTAACTAAATAATTATTTCAATTTTTTGAATTTTGGTCAAACTATGGTCAAACTTATTCAAGAAATATTAGCGTTACTAAATAATTACTGTTTTTTTAGAATAATAGTTTCAAACTCAAACGGTGAAATGTGTGACTTGATGCTCAAGCTAAACTCTTGAGGGTTAATAGGATTGACATCTTGCTATTGTCAAGAAAACAACAAGTGCAGACTCGGAAACAAAGGAGAATAGAACCCGAAAGTTAAGCGTGCTCGAGCTGGAGTAGTGAGAGGGATGGGTGACCGGTCGGGAAGTTAGATGATTTGGAATGAGTGATCCACACTTGAGCAGTTAAGAGAGGTGATTAGAGACTAAATCATCAAATAATTCAGAAATATTAAAAATAGAAAAAAATCAATTTTTTTTTCAAAATTTTCAAAAAAACAATTAAAAAAAAAATAATTTATTACCGGTTGGTAACACCATACTAGGGCGCGAGCTCACGCCACGTGGTGGCACTTTAGCGCCGGTTCGTGCCGAACCGGTACTAAAGGGGGGGGGGGGGCTTTACTGCCCACACTTTAGTGCCGGTTCCATAACCGGCACTAAAGGCTCTTACAAACCGGTTTTAAAGCTCCGTTTTCTACTAGTGTAAGTGCTGCACGTGTGGCATGGAGCAATCCGGCCTGACTTTTTTTACAACTAAAAGTTTTTTTTTTTGGCGGATGAACTAAAGTTGTCATTCTTTGCGTCACTAAACTTGTCATGAAAAACGTTCGAAGTTGCTATGTATTCGTGCCTCACGTGTGACACTTATCAGGGTCCTTGCACTTTTAGGCTCCCGCACTCCATACAGATATATAACATTCCAAACAAAAAGAAAAGAATGGAGCGATGCACTGCCGTGCAAAGGTGGGGTTTTATCTCACCACTGCGGATTTTAAAGGATTTCTTACCCTGTGACTACCATCCCAACAAGATAGGGGGTTTGTACTTCAAAAAAAAATTAAAAACACGTGAGGGAGTCTGTTAGGATCGACGCAGAGAATCCAGGGCGAGGAGGCCGCATTTGCTGATGTGGCGCCCCCAACCTGCATGCGTATATATACGGGATGGTGGTTTTCCAATTCTCTCTCTCTCTCTCAATTCCCTGGAAACTTTCTCCTCCATCCCCCAAAACCCAACTTCTGCCACATTGCCAAGATCACATAAACCCGGGGGCCGCGGCAGTTCGATCACACAGCCCCCGCCCGATCGGGCTTCGCCTTGCCGAAATTCCATGTGATCCCAGCACCGCTGACCTTGCAATCTATTCAGGTATCTCCGTCCGGGGTCTTTTTGGGGTGGAGTTCGTGGGATCGGGAAGGTTTGGTAGACGGGGGTGGTTATCAGATCAGTTTCGGTCCATTGTCTTCGTGTAGGGAAGGGTAGAAAAGGAAGGATCTTCCGTTTTTGTTCATGAAAATTCCGCGTTAGTTTTTGTTCGTCAGTTCTTGGTTGGAGACTGCGGGCGCAGTGTGGAGTTGGGGGTTTTAGGCGATGGATGTCGGCACTGCAGTACATATGTGGAGGCCTCCACTTTGTGATCTTGACCTTGATCGGATTGTGATTGGCGAACATGTGGATCGTCTGTTTTTTTTTTTTTTGCTTGTTCCTTTGTTGGTTGAGTGCGTAGTACAGTATGCTGCTGCTGACTGATCCTTGATCGGGGATGCATCTATATAATTGATTGGTTGACCATAGACCTGTAAGATCAGAGGTGTGTGTGGGTCCGTCGTAACCAATTTCATCTTCAGAATTGCTCGGACTTAGGATCACATCTCTCCATTCATACTCTATGACCATCATGTAATTATTATAATGTCTTCAATATTGAAGTTGCAGCATGAGTTACATTACCATGTAGTATATAATAGGTTACTGTTTTGTACTATTAACAAAATATACAATGTGTGATCTGACTGATTGGCCTTCTCTACAAGAATTAAAAAAAACAATGCATTGCTTAGTTACTTCCTCTGCAAGAATGGGGTTGCCTTGGTTGCGAGGACCCTGGGTTCATACATTTATAGCCATTTGACAACTCAGTATGCACGATTTACTAAAAATACATATACTTTTTTCTCTCAATAGCTGCAGATCATGGAGTGCCCAATGGATACTACAGCAAGCAACGCCGCCCTGGTTATAGAATTCCACAACATAGTGAATGATGCTGCTGCCCCGCGTTCTCCCTCGCCGGATCCAGAAGCTGAACTTATGAAGCGCCATTTCTCTGGAGAAGAAGCCGTAGGGCAATTCCCCCTAACCGCGAGCCCATCCATTCTCCTCCATGTGCTCTCATCCTCTGACCTGGATCCTAAAGATCTTGCTGCTTTGGAGGCAAGTTGTACAATTGCATTCTTAGTTCTCACGACTTTTGAGTCTTAAAATGCTGGTTATGAATTATTGTCATGACACAATGATGTGGAGATGTTTTGCTGTTTCAGGCTACATGTAAATTCTTCAGAAACCCCGCAAAGTTCCCACCAGACTTGGAATTATCACTTCCAGAACTTGCAGCATTCGACATGTGCCAGCATAGGCCCATGTTTAACCTAATGAAACCGGAAGAGAAGGAGTGGCTGAAGCAACGGTGCGGGGGCTCTTGGAAGCTTGTTCTTGGATACATTTTGGTCGGCGAGAAGAATTGCCGCTGCGGGAAATCTCAGGTCAATGCTGGACCAGGCCACAGCATTGTGGTCACCGCAAGTGGGGCCGTATACTCATTTGGCATGAATTCCTCGGGCCAGCTTGGCCTTGGGGACACAGAAGACAAGTTCAAGCCATGCCTTATCAGGTAAGAGTACATTGATTTGGTTGAATTTTG